ACTGTGAACTATTGCCTAGGAGAAATGAAATGATTCACTGTGGTACAGTTTAAGCAGTTACAGGGGTGGGGGCACAATTATGAGTTTTCTCTCAAATCTAAAAGATCAGAGAGCCCAAATAGTGGTCAGGACTTCTTTTCTGTGGTGAACAAAAAATATTTAAAAACAAACAAACAAAACCATGCTGTAGTGAACATGGAGTTTTACTATATGGCGTAATTATTAACATGGAGAAGTTTAGCATCATCTACAAAATTGAATAAATTCACTGGACAAAGGGTCTGAGAAAGAAATGTTTCAACATTCAATCTTGGAACCCTGATCATTACTGCTAACACGGGCCAATCACAGTAGGGCGCTGTGACATTTCAGTGCTCCTGGTGGCTGAGTGACAGCCTGCCCCCTCCCTGAGCAGTGTGCTTTTAGCCTCATGGCCCTGTTTGTTTCCCTGTATGCCGGAGTCTCAAAAAGTACCTGGCTTATCTGAGCTTTGCCGCAGAGACCTTCAAGGAACGGGTAGAGAACCATGGCGGCAAGCCAGGCCTCTGTCACTAGCCAAAAGGCTCAGGCTTTGTGTTGCCACTGCTCGCCAACAGTGTCCTTCTAGATAACCGGCTGCTCTTTCATTTGTGCAAAGGCCACAGCAAATGGGTTGGACTTAATGAGTATCTGGGTATGCCCATCATGGCTCTAGAATGGTCAGAAGTTGTTCTTTCTAGGTCAGGCCCAGAACCCCAAGGCAGAAATGTGCTGGCTGGGGTGCGAGCTCTTCTGTATTTGGAGCAATGCTGCCTCTGCCAGAGAGCAGTTGGGAATGTTCTTCTACAGGAGGGATGGGAAAGCGTGGCCAGCTCCCCTGTGTTTCACTGAGAGTGTCCACTGCTCAGCTGATGAAGACACATGTTGTTAAACTTACTAATTGTAGAGCATGCAGCATACAGGACAGGTGTCCAGGGCAAGAAGTTAAAATGGTAGCCTTGTCGGTGGATCTGCCAGGCTTCCTATACGACCTTAGTCTACTTACTGGATCGTGATGAACTGCAATTTCCTTGAATTGGAAACAGTCTCCGGGGTTTTCTAAGACCCTCAGGGTGTCTTCTTTGACTGATGTGTGGCTTCTGCCCATTTTGGTGGGTAAAGGCTTCTGAGAACAAGCTATTATTTTGAGGGAGCTGAGGTAAAAATACCAAGATACTGGGAGGTAAAACCAGAGAGTCCATGGAGCTCCTAGAAGAATAAAAGATCCCATGTTTGTATTCGTAGTGGTGAGGTGGGATGTACTTTTAAACATGCTTGGACATAGGTAGGGGACATGAGTGGCTTCTCACACAGCGCTCTAACCTTTGTGATTCAAATGGGCACAGAAGTCTGGGCTGCATGATAAACCCCCATTTCCCCTGGATTTAAACAACTCAATAACAAAGTACTAAAAGCTGTGATTTTGATCTTGAGCTCCCATTGTTGAAACATCATGCTTTATGGTAGATTTGTGCTGCTGGTCACTGAAAAACAATTTCGTTTTCAGATGTCTCTCTAGGCCATAAGGAGATGTGGCTGCCACAATCTCATCGGGTATTTTAAATTGTTAGAAGAATGTTCTGTTTGGTTTGCTGACACTCTTAGGTCCACTTAATCACCTTCAAATTATTTAAATTAATGAAAGCGTATGTGAATTACTAATTATCCTAAAACTGATCATTTAACAGCAACAAAATAGTAGTTCCCTTTTCAGGGCACATGGAAAGGCAGGGAAGTCTGTAGGTGACTAATTGATACTCTTCCTCCACCATTTGCCAGCCAACCAAGGGAATGTTTAAACAAATCACTCATCCATTTTGGGCTTTCATTTCCTTAACCAGAAAACTAGAAAAATTAATGATGCCAGCTCATGGATGAAATGAGTTAGAAATATTCCAAGTGTTTGCAATATTCTCTTCGACATGCTAACCAATAGACAAATGTCAGTTGGTTGTCATCAACACTGCTGTCATACTTCCCAGCTTGTTTGGCACCTTCACCCACATTTCCCCATTTGAGAATCATAATAACACTGTAAAACAGGCAAAGAAAATATCATAAATCATGAAATTGAGCATTGAATCCATAATTTGCTAATTGTATCAGATCTAGTATGTCAGACCAGCAATAGGGATCAGTGCATCAAGGAACTTGTGGCCAAACCTGGTGCCATGAGTTCAATCCCCAGACCCATCTGGAAGAAGAGAACAGATTCTTGCTTGTTGTCCTCTGCCCTCTGCACATAGGCTACATACATGCACACTCACAAATATACATGACCACATACAATAAATAAACAAAAACAATGAAGGTTAAAAAAACCTAGCATGTTAACAGCAGGTTGCCAAGGTACTTGGTTGGTAGTCCCCACACTTTCATCATAGGATGGTCCCCTTGCCATACTGGACAGATGGGTGCTGTCATAGTGTGCAGGTCTCCTAGACACTCAGTCCTGAGTAACAATATATTCCTAGGATCCCAAAATAATGTGGAGGAGTTCGGAACATTTTTGATTTTGTGATCAGAGATCATGTTACTGTGCACAACTTAGCAGCAGCATAAGGTGACTTAATGCCCAGAAAAAAAGAGTTACATTTGACAAAGGGAGGGAGGTGTGAATCCACATCTTTCAGCAATGACTGGGTACTTAAGTTTGGCACTTTTCCAGTCACACTACCATGTAACAGAAGTGCTGGCTGACATGATGATACAACTGAAATTAACTGTCCAAGCTTTGTCCCAAATTCAGAATTACTTTTCCTCCAAAGTTTTATCCAAATATCTTACTGCATTATTGGAACATTCTGAAATGATGTCCATCTCCATTGATTCTGGGACAATAACACCAGCACCTAGAAAATAACAGGCTCAAGAGTGCTGAGAATTAAGCAATGACATCGTTCAGAAGGTGCCTGCCCTGGCTTGGTCTGGATCCAATGAGAAAGAGAATGATCCAGCCCTAGGGACTGTGTTGACATTAGAGAATTTGGCATTGCCCACACCACCTGGCCTTGTCTATAGATGAAGAAATGTCCATGTAAAAGAATGACATGATTGTTGTGTAGACAATAAAACAATAAGAGAAATGGAAGCCAAAAATGGACTGAAATACCTTGTTTTCTAGAACCTAATTCTATCCATGATTGGCCTCCCAAGTCTTGCAATAACTCATTTGGATCTTATCACGGCAGCAGCTAAAATGCCATCATTTATTTTCTCTTTCAATTCTCTTTTTCTAGAAAATAAGCATGTTTTTTAGTTATCAGGGGGATTTTGACACAGATGCAAGTATAAGCTATTCTTTTTATTTTGATCCCAGAAGCCAGGCATTAAAAAAAAAAAAATCACTGGATTTAATCATTTTGAATCTTTGTGTCTCCTCTGAGATAGGACCAGATGTAACCAGAAAGATTTATAGGGTGTAAAATTGAGAATGGATTAGAAAAGGCTTTCTGTATTCTGCCCAACACATCCTAAATCAACACACCCCCAGTGGACCAGTCCAATCTCTGGCTGGCCAAGTGGGGAAGTTGCCATGGCAACTGACTGGCAAGCACAGCCAGTGGAATGTGAATGTAAACAATGGAATGATAACATTGTGTGCAGAACTGCCTGCTGAGGCTGCTTCCAGCCCAGGAACATCCTGGAAGTGGGAATTGGCCCTCTAGTTCCTGTCCTCATGCAGTTTTGCTGCTCATTGGAAATGTATTGTTTCCTTTCCCATTGACTCAAAACTTTACTGCGTTAGACAGACAGATGAGGGAGCAGTCAGCCCCACCAGAGAGGTGGGTAATTGTAGTAGCTTTGCAAATACCTGCAGAGCTGTCTGTCACCCAGCTCAAAACTCCAGATGCTCAAACAGGCCTAAGGTAATTCCTGTGACTCTTTAGCGCCACCTCGTGTGCTGTTAGACACTGCACATGAAGCCTATCCTTAGACCCATGACTGGGCAGCCACTGGACAGACAGGAAAAGAGAACATGATTGTATGGGAACCTCACAGTCCTCTAGGTAGAATATGCACAGTGTCTTTTCTAAACCTTTCATTAAAAAGAAAGAAAGAAAAAGAAAACTAATAACTTTGACAGAATGCAGAAATGAGTAAAGAACGAAAGTCAGTTTTAGAAAAGGCTGCAAGGTGGCCCCACAAAACAACTGAAGGGAGGAAGGAGCTATATGTCACCATCTTTCATGAAGAGTCAGTATGTGACTGAGCAGAACAATTCACACTGTGGTGACCAGGACACAGAGCACAGGGTAACTGGGAAAATACAATACCCAAGGACACGCCCTCTTCTCCATAACAAATTCACACCAACTCAACCCCACCTGTACCCTTCACCACCTCATAATAAAATGCCATCAAGGGGTTGATTCATCAAGTCAGAGTTCTCACCATCTAGTCTGACATGCTCAGTGCTTTGCTCCTAATTCAGCCAAGTTGGCAACCAATACTTAAAATTACACCAGGGGCAGGAGCAAGAAGTTAGCGTGAGTGTGCTGCCCAGGGTTCTTTTGTTTTGTTTTTGTTTTTGATTTTCAAGACAGGGTTTCTCTGTGTAACAGTCCTGGCTGTCCCTGAACTCACTTTGTAGACCAGGCTGGCCTCGAACTCACTGAGATCCGCCTGCCTCTGCCTCCCGAGCGCTGGGATTAAAGGCATGCGCCAACACCGCAGGAGCAACGAGTCTGTTCTTAATGATACTCTTGAGTTCCTTCATGGTACTGCTATTTACTATTCAGTTCCTTTCATAAAATCTCTTTGCCCTTGCTGGTAGCATAAATGACTCAGTAGTGACAAATAGGATAAACATCATCAATCCTGCTGTTCATGGTCAGTGGGTAGCTCTTTATGTCCAGCTGCCACCTCAATCTAAACCACAGCATCTCCCATCATCATCACCTCATCGACCCTCAAAACCTTGATTGAGTCCACTAACCTTCAGAAACATGAAATGACAGAGTTGTTTCTGTTTCCTCCAGGGTTTGAGTTTTTCGAAACCAGCGCCAAGGATAATATCAACGTGAAGCAAACCTTTGAGCGCCTTGTGGACATCATCTGTGACAAAATGTCAGAGAGCTTGGAGACTGACCCAGCCATCACCGCGGCAAAGCAGAGCACGAGACTCAAGGAAACGCCTCCCCCGCCGCAGCCCAACTGTGGCTGCTAATGTCTCCCACACAGGAGCTCCAGTGGCTCCAGAGCCGCCAAGAAATAGCATTTATAAATGGTCTAGTAGCCTTCACTTATACTGCCTAATAATTATTTGAAGGAAGTCTTTGATGTCAGTGGCCCATATATGCATTCAAACCTTGAGCAATTTCCTGTGTTAGTATGTGGCAAGCTCGATCTTACGATTGTAAGGATCATTCATCTATAAACACCCAGTACTTGCATGTGACTTATTTATTTGTCTTTCAGAATATTTTTGGCAAATTTTTCTCAATTAAGCTATTGCTGAAACTTCAGACTATAATTTCACTGCAAATAACGTTTGTGCCATGGATTAAAATCTTGCTTCTCACTTGTATGGATGCTGACATAGGGACCCCCTGTGTGTGTGTGTGTGTGTGTGTGTGTGTGTGTGTGTGTGTGTGTGTGTGTGCTGTGAGCAGGGGAGATGTCAGGAAACTTAGTTTGACTGAAAAGGAAGTGAGACTTTTGCTCTTGATTGGAGACCCTATCAGAGGTCTGGGCAGTCTACTATTAGGAAATGTATATTGCACTTTCACTAATAATAATTGAAGAGTGTATTGACTCTTTAAAAAAATTAAGGTGGTGGATGCACTGACACCTGGATGGCTGAGGCAGAAGGACAAGTTAAAGTAGGCCTGAGCTACAAACTATAAAACTCATCATGGAAAAAAGTATAAAAGAAAATGAAATTGAAATGTTTTTAAGGCTCTTGCAAGTTTTCTAAGTCAGTGATATTAACATGACTGGATCCAGATAAAGAGCAATTGAGTCTGCATATCCTACTGCAGGGCTTAGCTTCCCACTCATTCTGCCCATATCCACCTATGTGAGAGCAATGACCCATGAGGAGGCTTCTACTTAATGTCAGTTATGCAAGAAGTTCAGTGACCAGGAGTGCTGTGAGAAGCCATAGAATTCCACAGCCTGGGTGGCCTCCATCATAAAATGACCCATCCCACCCCACAACACAGCAGCATGGCTCTCTAGAGCCAGCACCAATTCTGGAAGAGAGATTGGCTTGATGCTCTGTCATGACCCCTCTTTTCAAGAAAGGTAGGCCACCTTCCCAACCACTGCTCTCTGCTCCAACTTCAACCAAGCTTTTCCACCTATTTAGAAAGCAACTGGGTAACCTTCCTTTGAGTCCCACACTGAGGAAAAGATAATTTTTATGGACATGTTTTTCAGAGGATTTAAAATTCTAAAGCATGCTCTCATCATATTAAACCTCTAAACATGTTCAAGTTACATGGAAGATTCCAGAGCTGAGCGGGACAGAAAGTTGAAGCATCATGGCAGTTGGAGAGAGGGAAGGGGACTCTTGAACATCTAGTTTTTTCTTTTAGGTTTCCTAAATACAATATAGAAATGATATACCACCAACAAATCTCCCCCTCTGTGCCTAGCACAGAGTGAATCTCTACCTTCCAGAAGTATCTGCAGCTAGGATCTTCTGAAGACATCAGGCAGTCCAGAGTGAAGGACAGGACAATTTTGTTAGGTAGACTTTTTCCTCTTTGGTGGTTGTATAAAAGATTCACCCTCCCCTTGAAAAACAGAGAAACAGCTTGTGAAAGTATTTAACACAAGCTTGCTGGACAAGGCTATTGACAGAACGCTATGTGCATGGTCTCTTTTTGCCCACTTAGTTTCAAACTTATAAATTAGTGGTAAGTTTCCAATTTGACACCCGGTGGAGCAAGACTTGGCTCACCAAAGACAAGAAGACACTAATGTCTTATTTCATTTTAATGACACCTAGATTAAAGAATCACAGAAATTACGGTAAAGGAAAATAGAGAAGCTGGGAGCATAGAGTAGGATTTCTTTGCCATTGTCATAAATTCATATGGCATTGTCCTGTTTCTATGACCTGGGCCAGAATGTGGCCATGTTGAATGCTACAGCTGTCAAACTCATTTTTAGATCTAGTACAAAACAGTGAAGCCAGGAATCCTGGGCCTCCTTCCTTGCTTGTATACAAAGAATGTAAAAGGCCTCGCTTTTGTACTTTAAATGGCTTCTTTAAAAGGGCATTGTGTGTGTTATAAATTGAGAACAGATAAGAGAAAAAGAGAAACTGTCACATTTGCTAATTTGAAAATTCCCCGAAGAACTGGTTATGACTGACTGAAGTCAAGTGTGCACTCATACTCTCTGTCAGGAACCTGGAAGTTAGACCATTATGTGCTAGCTTGTCAGTGGACAGAGGGCCAGCAGTAGCCCTGGTGTCTTTGCCCCCAGAACATGTCATATCTCCTGTTTCCCAAACTCCCATGGAGACAGTCTTCCCAATTGATTTTAAGTTATGAAATTCCCACCCTGCTATGTATTTCATTCCAAATAATTCAGTAAAAATTTCCAGAGAGACTTGTCACTAAGATAAAAGAGAAGGCAGTCTGTGTTCTTGCTGTGACACCAAAAGAGAGAAGAACCACTGTTCCTAATGTCATCAAGATGTCTTGGTTGTAAAATCAAATTTGGCAAATGGAAACCAGATAATTGATTATTTATTAGTCTAGAGCTGTATAGGTTATAAATTCTAACACGGTAACCCTGAGGTTTTTTCAATCTTTGGCTACAGCGTACATATATACAAATACACACTAATCTCCTGACATCAGCCTAAACATGAATAGGTCCTTCTGACTAATGACCTGGCTCAATTTGTATGTAAGAAGATATTTAAACAAATGTTATTTAAAAACACATAGATGTTAAAAACACACGTGTAGGTCTTCGACATCATTTCTTATTGTCTCTGATGCAGTTCAGTTAGTATTTTAAGTGTCCTCCCCTTCCACAGTGGTCACCCCGGCATCCTTGCCCATGCAACTGCTTTTAGAACCAAACCCCAACTGCTTCAGGAAAACACCCCCAAGAGCTCTAGTGTAGGTTCATCCCATTCCTTTCTTAATGCACCTTAAGCAGCCACCTTGAACTGTGAATGGATGTGGGAGGTTCATGAGGTGTTCCCCAATCCCAAGAAGGCAAGTTAGCCATAAGCATCACTTCTATGGGCTCAAAGGAAGAACTTCTTTAGAACAATGACCCCATTGCCTGTTTTCTCCCCCTTCAAACAGCATCTACTGCCATCATAGCCTCTAAGACTACAAGGAACAAGAGGTTTGTGAAGTTCCTTCTTGGGACCACTTAAAGTTTAGTATTGCTCTCTGCCAGACAAATAAGTGCTGAAGCTTGTATTAGAAAGGGACCTATTATGATGCTTCAGTTTTACTGACAAATTGGAAATATAAATTCTACAAAATTGCAACTGAAGTTATGCAAGACATCAGTGTACTCAATTAGAAATGCATTTATTCCACTTACTTCACTCTTATCAGATTCATTCATTCAGCACATTTATCATTTTTCCAGGTGCCAACTTAAGCTTCTAATTTTAATTATGTCTGTGACAACAATGATTTTAAAGTAGAATGCACTCCACTATTAATGGAACTTCTGTTAAGCAGCATTAACTTCAGTGTTGATCTTCGTAGTGGTTCATTGACATGCTTTATCTTAGTGGATGGCTAAGTTTATCCTTGGGTTTTTAGTTACTTGTGTGGCATTTTGGGGGCTGTATTGAAATGTATCTAGACTCTATCAAGCTTCACCAAGCTGAGATAGCAGCTGTGTATGAAAAATGGTTACATGAATGATCTTAAAAACATGACCCAAACTATCCCAGACCAGAAAGTTAATGTTTGTTGCTAATCTTCATCATAATGTTGAAGTGTTCAATCAAGATATTTTTTGATGTGCTCGAAAGCTGGCCCATCTGTCTGGGCAACTGTCTTTGTCTAAATTTTAGTCTTCATGGCAGACTCTGGGAACTTTCTTTGTGTGCACACTCAGTTTGGTATGTCAGGGTGCTGCATGAGCACTAGACTCAGAAGGCCTTTCTTCTCTCTCTGAATTAACTAATTCAGTGTCCACAGACCTGCCTATGAATGGATGCTACCTGCACTTTAGTTGCCTGTTAGTGGAATGGAGAGAACTCCTTGGTGTGCTAAACCTTTGAATATTCAAACCAGCTTTTTGGAGTTATTTATAATTTAGGTGGTTTTTTTTCTAGAAATCAGTTAAGACATAAACCTATTTATTATACCCTCAAATTTAATTAAGACAAATTAGGTAAAATATAAATTTGGATATACATTATGAACAGATTTGGAAAAGATCTTTGCCTCTATACTGCACCTAAAGTGCTCTAGATTCTAGACATATAGTATTCCCTAAGTGGGGGGGAGAATAAGTTGTGAGCATTTATATAAAATTTCCCTACTTACTATTAGTGGCATTTCATAAACAATGTATTTTTTAAAACCATTCTAGAAATGCTTGGCACTCCCATAAAACATCTTCCTACAGACAGCTTATTTACATGTTTACAGCTGGGACACACACATACCACTGCCCCTCTCATCACACACTTGCAAACATTGACACTTTTTTGGTGAAGAGAAAATCCCCATTGGCCGCACTGTCTGTGAAGGGAAAAGGGGGCATTTTGCTATGCACCCACTGTCACTCACATCTTACTTTGAAGTTCAATGAAATGAATTCTTCATGTAGACGTGCCCATGGCTTCTAACAGACAGGATGGAGAGAAATTGCGTTTTGCAAACATTGGAGGTAATAGAAATGAATCATCTCAAAACCACACCTGGAGTGGAGTAGATTGTGTAGCTAAGGGCATGTTAAGACTTTATCATTGCATGGTCCTTTTATATAAACTTTCAGATTTTTAAAAAAATAGGCAATTTTCACAGCACTATCCTTACAGAATGACACTAAATCTTGCCATGAACTTCCCCTCAGCCACTGTTATTGGTGGACTTTGCATCCATTATCACTTGCTGAAATAATCCTGTGGACTACCTGTGTATTTCATTCACATGTTCATTTTTCTTTCATTGTGGACAACTGAGACTTGCTGTTGCTTTTTTATGTAGTGGAACTATCACCATA